GGCCTTCAAGCTAAAAAGTCATTAAATGTAATAATTTAATATTTCTTCGTCTTCTACCAAGCAATTAAATGTAAATATTGTGATTTTTGTATTTTTTGGTTCTACGGCAAATAGTTGAAACAATGTAAATATCATATCAGATTTCTTAATGTTATTATTGGCTTTATACCAATAGTTAAAATAATATAAACGTCCTCATGTTCTTGGAGTTTTTTTTTTACCCACTATATAAGTCTCATCCCCTCCCTTTTTATGAGTTTTCTAAAATATTACCGACGAAATATTATCGACAATCATCCTGCTTATATACGCATCCCCAGAGCGATCCGTTCTCCGATGCGAACGAGTTCTCCGTTGTGAACGGGTTCTCCAATGCGAACGGGTTCTCCGATGCAAACGGATAGGTCTGGGGATGCGTATAAGAAGGATGGTTGTCGGTCATCGATCGTCGGTAATATTTTATAAAATTCATAATTTTCGCAATTTAATTTCTGCGGAGGGTTGAATGGAATTCCAGTGGTCCACTTGCAAGTTTCATTCGTGGTAACTTGCACTAATAATGGAAAAGTAGTAGTTAGTAGCAGTAAATCTTTGATTATTCAATTTATTGCTTGTGTAGTATTTGGTTTACTTTGCTTTTTCTTTGCTCCTCTTGTCCGAAGAGCAATTGGTTCTTCTTCTGGTTCCTCTTTTGTTTTCGCTGATCGAATTTCTGAACTTTCTATATCATATACTTCCAAAAGATTAAGCATATTTCTTGGTCTATCGAGTAGCTTTCCCTTAAGCGTTCATATTGTTGCACTTCTCACGTTACCTTCTTTTCCTTTTTTAATTCGATTTTTACTAACTTCTACGTGCCACGTGTGATAATTCAGGACCATTTAGTAGGACTATTTCATCTATATGAATGAATGTTCACTTGGTATATAATGAAACAAAAAACCTGCTTTCCTTATTTCTTCGATTCGATTTTATATGAATGGTGAAGTAATTTCGAATAATTTTTGATTCATTTTTTTTAGAATCTGACCATAATGTCACCGGTACGTTTTCCAGTTCCAATTGTTTTAATACAAACTTAGCGGCTTTACTCCGATTAACACAAATAATTCAAGTCTCGGCACAGAAATACCTTTGATGGGAGCAATTCATGACTTAGCATAGATTAAGAATGAATTCGATTTCATGCCCTGATCTTCTGAATTGAGCATATATACAGCTGTTGAATATGTTTATTTGATGCATCCGTGAATATATATATTTCCAATTGATTTAATGATTTTATCATAAATCTTGCTAAGTCTATTACATTTATTGGCCATTCCCTTATTAATGTCTTTCATTTTTGTTCGTTTTCTTTATTTAAGGCGTGATCCCAAGATTTGTCTTGTTTCCGTAAATGTTTGAATTGTATCATCGAAGGAATTGAAAAAACCCAATGGAGAGTATTGGAAAACGATGAATTGTAAAATAGTTCTTTTTGTTACTTCCTTTCCACTCTATGGCTTTAATGTTATACGAATAACATCTGATTTATCAATCCATTTAATACCGAGAAAACTTTCCTTGTTCGTTTTGGCTTTGCCGTATTCGGGTATTCTTTCATTGAAATCTTTATCGTTTGAAAGACATTCTCGAATATTCATCGGAGCTTCTTCGAAGATAATTTTCATTGGTTTGTGCTTTGACAAGGTTTCTTCGGTTTCATCGGCAAACAGAGTAACATTATCCATATAAATATTTTTTCATATTGCTAAGGCCGTCTTACTGCCATACTTTTCGAAATGATAATTAAGTGTAGCTGATAATAAAAACGATGAGGATATCATTCCGAAAGGGACTCTTTTGAAGCCATAACATCTTATGTTTTCTTTGGTTACCTCCTCATTTATATCATTTAATCAAAGGAATCTATACAGTTTCTATCTTCGGGATGTTATTCTAAAAATGCAAAAATGCCTTTTCAATTTCTGTGTTTCAATATCTTTCAATAATTGCAAAAATGCCTTTTCAATATCTGTCGGAAAAACCGAAATAGTTTTATCATAAAATCATTCATTCAAATAGATCGCATTTACATTTTTTTTTCTCTCATGCTTAAAGTTATGAGTCAGCTATCTAATCTAGTAAAAGTGTTGTTATTCTGATGTTAAGATTTGTGCATAATGGTAACTAATTTGTAAAGGCTTTATCCCATGCAAAATCTTTTATACAATGGTGAGAAAGCTGTACATCAGATAAAATAATTCCTATGCAATTTTTTCTAAATAAAACTGTTCTTATATGTAAATTTCTCTTGCACCTGTGAGAATACTGTCAACATGTAATGATTGTTCCTCTTCACACATCCCATATATATAAACCCTAAGAATCTCTAACAAGATCCAATGTCAATTTTCCTCCCGTCGCCACTCAACTCTACTCAATACAATCCTGATTTATTTCCTATTTATGAATTTCTACTTCAATATTTCTCCCGTTATCCTACGTTATTAAGTTGGACTTCACTATACTATAGTCGGAATTACTTCTAACCTGTTTTTATTGTATTTGTTATTTGAACAACAATAAAGGATAACTATTATACTCCTCGAACACATAACCAATCAGTATTCAGTAAGTCATTTTTTTATAAAAAAGCCTTATTACTAACAAGAACAGTAATCATCATCTTCTAATTCTCTTAATTTTTTCCACGACAATATCAGCTGTTATTGCTAATCAAATCTGGTTACACGACCGGTTACAGTACTTCATTCAAGAATCTTCGATCCCTTGAGATGAAATTTTTTTTCTTAAATTTTTTGCTTCTTAATTTGTTCTTAGATTCTTTCCATGGCCAACACACGTATTGTCTTTTATCGTTGTCTTGAACTGTTTTAATGTTTCCTCGTTATCATTCGCATTGGGTTGTCCATGAATTTCCATGATTTCCAATTTCCAAAATTTTTTTATCTCCAATTCGCAGTTTACATTAGTGATATATAATGCACTCGAAGTATATCTAGTATTCATATTACAAAGTTTATTTATATCACCACTGCCCACAATCATCGGCTCAATTTTCGTATGAAGTAGTGAACATCCGGATTTGATTCTTTAATTCCATTCAATTTAATAAATTTGAAGAAATAAACAGCTCCAATTAATATATAGGGCTGTTTCCAATAATTCCTTAGGCTTCTTAATTGATCCTTCTTCGGCATCTCAACTACTTGCAATTCATTAGTTAAGTAACTAACAATATTGGCGCATAATATTATAATTTCCTTTGTTTTAGTTTGTATGCCTATTTGCGTTTGAGTGGTGAGAGACAATCTAGGTTTCTTGATACTAAGTGGAGCTAATATTATCTCTTGCTCTTCCGCCTCTACTAAATTTAATCGGTGCACTTTTTTTGATGAAAGGATAACTACGATCCTATATCAAACAATGCTAAGGCTTCTTCTATGACGTTGTGGTACTAGTGGATTGAAAACCACTATCTCTTTGCTTAAAAGTAAAGTTCTTTTTTCCTTATTGTTTCACTACCGAGTTAGTTTGAGTTATATGAGTTGAAATTTTAGTAGATGACCAATCTTCCTTTCTGTTAACAATTTCAACTTCATCGATTGGTTGATTCATATTTAGGTATATAGTTTTACCATTTTTCTTGTTGCAAATCGCACTGTTGTGAGAAGCTTTACAGAAGTACTTTACCTTTCTTTTGCATCCCTCACCTTGATGTGTTCCTTTAAAACAGAGAGCACATTTATTCATTTCTTTGAGACGTTTCGTTTGAACGTTCGTTGTAAGATAGACGTGGTATTCGCTATCCCAATGACCATGGTTGCAAAATGCACTAGGTCTTCTTTGCTCTTTACTGCTAAATGAGGAGTCTTCTCTTTTTTATAAACTGTTGCTAATGTTGCGTTTTTAGGTATAATTGGTTCCTATCAACTTGAGTAATTGAGAATTGGTTTCTTACTTGTTCATTTACATTGATCATGTTTTTGAGAAAGTTTCTCAGTTTAGAGACTGACCACGGAACATTGATGTTTCTTTGATGATATACTTTATCTAGTATCCATCTTGGCATCCTACTCTCGATTGCAGTTTCTATGCCGGAGCTTTCTAGGTTTTCTCCTAGAGCCTTTAACTGTCGGAAAATTCTTTTCATTTTTCCAACGAATTCAATCCATTTCTTATCGTTTCTCTTAATGGATTGTAATTCATTGTATAACAAATTTAGTTATTGTAGACGATTCACCATATTCTTCCGTTAGCACTCTTCGTATGACTTCGTAGTTTTCTGGGACTATATCATATCCTCTCACCGCTTGTAATACATTGCCTTTTAAACAAAACACCAAATATTTCTGGATTTCTGGAATAGCTTGGGAATTTACTGCGATATTAAAACTGCTCCAGAATTCTCTCCATAGTCGTGGATCTCCATTAACGATGGGTAATGACAATTGTTGTAAGTTGATTGTGTGATGAGGAACTGAAGGCTCTTTTTTCTGAAGTAAGTTTGAGTTCTTTGACAATCTCATTACTCCTTGATCGGTTTCATTTTTGTACATAGTTAAAATGATAACCGCTTCTTTCCCTTCATGTATTGGCTCAAAGATTCCTTTATCTCCAATTATGATCTCTGCGCACCTTTCTTCATCCTTTCTTGTTGTCGTTAGAGTTCTCTGAATATATTTGATCTACTTATCATTCATAGATTCCAGTGTATTATTACTACACATTTTAATTCGCATAATTTTTTCTTTGATAATTCCGACTTCCTAAAACTCATAGCGTTTTCCCGCTCCTAAACTTTGCTCCAGTGGTTCATATCCATTACCTTTACTTCGTGAAGGAGATTCTCCAACCTTCCCTTTGCAGGTTTAATACTTGCTATTATACTAGTGGCCCTCGAACCTCACTTTGAGCACTAAAAATTGTCATAAAAGAATGGTTCTTTTTTTATTAAAGAAATATTAAATTGAAATAAAGGTAAGCTTACGTAAATTCTTTTGGTCGTAATACAATGGTAATCTTTCACAAATAAATTAGTAGTAAAGTTTATTGTTATATTAGCAAAATGACAATACAAGAATGTAGGATTATTGCTAATATTAAATGGATATGCTTATAGGAAGGATGATTGTCGATCATCGATCATCGATCGTCGGTAATATTTTAGAAAACTCATAAAAAGGGAGGGGATGAGACTTATATAATGGGTAAAAAAAACTCCAAGAACATGAGGACGTTTATATTATTTAACTATTGGTATAAAGCCAATAATAACATTAAGAAATCTGATATGATATTTACATTGTTTCAACTATTTGCCGTAGAACCAAAAAATACAAAAATCACAATATTTACATTTAATTGCTTGGTAGAAGACGAAGAAATATTAAATTATTACATTTAATGACTTTTTAGCTGAAGGCCAAATGATTTTGCAATACATATTACGAATTTTCTTGGTTTTTTGACAGGAAATTATACTTGATTGCATTGTCTTCCTATCTTTCTATTACCGAAAGAAATGTGGACCGTCGAATACCGAAATTCATCTTCCAACCAAAAGAACGTATAAGAAGTTAAGCTAAAATTGA